GGCGGAGCTGAGGCAATGCCGGTGTACTTGTGGGAGAAAACGGGTCGGTGTGCCCTTTGGAAGGTACCCTGTGTGTTCCTTTTGTGGTTGAAAAGGGAACCCGCGCACCACGTTTATTGTTCTTTGTGTCATTTTTGTGGTTGAAAAGGGACACCAAAGGGGCACCACCCGGAGATTCATCCCTCTTTCCGGAGATTCATCCCTCTTTCCGGCCAAAGTGGAAGAAACGCTTTTCGCTAGAGGGCAGTCGTGTCCTAAACCCTCCTTGGGAGGGTATGGATTAGCCAGCGCCAAAAATGGAATGCTTGGGATCGTTCAAACACCTGGTTGGGTGGATTTTCCCTCGTTGGGAGAGCTTGTAGAATTTTCGGTGGCCTCCGATGGATTTGGCTGGGGAGCGTTAGGTTTCTCTTTCTCTGAAAACTTGGGGACCCCCCCCCCGCTTCTCAAAGAGAAACGAGTACCCTGAAAAATAGACACCCAACTGTTGTCAAGCAGCCATGAATGGATTTCTGGGATAGGCCTAGGCCGATTCGAGGCGAAGGACCTATACTCAGTTGCCTGCGGCTTGCTGCTCTGTCTCGCTGACCAGCGTTCTGGACACGCAGGGTCCAGGTCAGGAGTGTTTTTCAGTTCGTTTCTCCACCCCAAGCACATTCTGGCTGACTCTGGAGCCAGAATGCGTGGGAGCAGAGTCTATCTGTCGATGATCAAATGAGCAAATGAGCAAATGAGCAAATGAGCAAATGAGCAAATGAGCAAATGAGTGCAACTTGTGCAGAATCCAAGAGCAAGTGAGCCAGTGGCAGTTTCCACATAGCCAGCTCAGGATTTTTACGTGCAAAAAACATAGTTGTTTTTGCTGGTTTGTTTTTTGGAGACAACTGACAGAAAGGCGTTCTGGCGACCACGTATCCAAACCCACTTACTTCCGGCTTTGGAACTTTCCTTCAACAATCGTGTCAACTTTAGAGCCTCCGGCTCAGTCCGCCGACATTGTCCTCTCCCTGTTCTCCTTCTTCCTCTCTCCCTTGTCTCCTCCCCCGCGTGTTCTGTCGTCCTCTCTCCCTCCCTCTGCTCCCCATCCTCCCCATCCCCCCAAGCCTCTCTCTCCTCAATCTCCCTGTCTCTGTCTCTCTCTATCTCTCTATCTCTCTCTCTCTCTGTGTTTCTGTCTCTTTCTGTCTCCCTGTCTCCTTCCTGTCCACGCCCCTCTACAGAAAAAGGGCACCCTTATTCTAACCTATCTACTGGAGGACCTAGTCTCTCTCTCTCTCTCTCTTTCTCTCTTTTTTTTTTTCTCTCTCTCTCTCTCTCTCTGTCTTTCTGTGTCTCTCTCTCTCTCTCTGTGTCTCTCTCTCTCTCTCTCTCTCTCTGTCTTTCTGTGTCTCTCTCTCTCTCTCTGTCTTTCTGTCTCTCTCTCTCTCTCCCTCTCTCTTTGTCTGTCTCTTTCTCTGTCTCTTTCTCTGACTCTGGCTCTGTCTCTGTCTCTCTCTCGCTCTCTCTTTCTCGCTCTCTGTGTCTCTCTCTCTCTCTCTCCCTCTCTCTCTCAGTCTCTCTCCCGCTCTCTCCCTGTCTCTCTCTCTCTCTCTGCATTGCAGCGTCACACCCTGAACTGTCATCTCACTACTGGCTTTCCCCTTGATTTCCCCTTCATATTCTTTTCACGTTTCCCATGATGTCCTGGTCATGTCCCTTCCATTCCTTTCAACTCCCCCTTCATGTCCCTGTCATTTTCTCGGTATGTCCGCTTCATTTTCCATGCATGTCCCGTTCTGTCGTTGCGAGTCAGTTCCCTACATCTCCCGTCGTGCCGATTGGTTTCCTTGTCCTTTGTTTCCCTTTCATTCCCCCTGCACTCCCCTTGTTCTCATTTCTGTCCCTTTCATGTCCCTTTCAGTTCCCCTTTGTTTCCCTTTCATTTCCCGTTGCTTTCTTGTCATGTCGACTTCCTATTTCCTCCCCTCATTTCCTTGCACTTCCTTGCATTTCCCCTGTGCTCCCCAGCATTTCCCGCAAAAAAAACATGTTTTTCCAGCGTTTTCGCAAAGAGGACATCCAAAAACACATAGTTTTTCCAGATTTTCGGCAACAGGAGAAAGAGCCGGCAGGGGGATTCGAGCCTGGGACCCCTGTCTGGCGACACCAGCTCCCCGAAGACTACGTTTAGGAACGTCATCAAATTACCGCGCGGCACGGTCGGGCGGGGGGGGGTTTAGGGGGGGTCCTCACCGAGATTCGCCGTCGGCCAGAGTCAGGCTTCACATCCAGCGAGCTGACAGGCCAACCATAAATCTAGCCTGAACCTGCGGAGTGTGTGCTTGGCTTTTTCCCAGCCATCCCCTTAGGTTTTTAGATGGTTTTCACTCCTTTTAGCAAGGGATCTGACAGCTCAACTTTCCAGTTTTGCTCCTTGAGTGAATCGCCAAGAGGCTTTGGCGATGTTGTCTGGGCTGGGTGGCTATGGGGGGCTATTTTGTAGAAAGACAAGGACAAGTAAGCCCCACGGCGCATAGCATGCGCAACTGTGCATCAATATCACACATCTGGGAAAGAGCACGTAGCCTTTGGGGATGAACATTGTCCCAACGTTTGTTGGAGGTTTTTAAGGGGAGCTTGCTGCACATGCTTCCAGCTATGAGAATTCTCCAGGTCACTCTCGATCTCAGCCTCGCGACGACGCGATCTGAGCTCGCATACTTTTGAACATTTTTGTTTCATTCCTAGCAGGACACAACGTCACAGTCAAAGTTGAGACTGGCTATGTTGTTCGGAATGTCTCTTCACGCTCTTTCAGCACGCTTTTGCAGTGCCTTGATGCTAGCAAGCAGTTTTGTGCCGGTTCGGAAACCCTGCCGAAGAGCGGGGGTGCGGGGGCCCTGCGCGGGCGCACGACCCACCGAACTCGGCAATGAACCGAGGCGCAGCGCAAGGGTCGCACTTGAAGGTGTTTGGTCGCCTTGGTGGTTCCCAGCCATTTTTTTAGTGGAGGCGTTTAGGGTCTAGTTCGGGGTTTCCATTTAACCCGCTGAAAGTCAAACGTTTAGTAGATCAACAACTTACTCAGCAAGGTTGCGTTAGCCATGATATGTTAGGTTATAGGGACACTAACAGCAATGCACAAATTGGGATATCCCTCACTCCATCTACTGGATTGCTTTCGGGGGATCAGGTTGAAAGAATTGACTTCCCAAAACAGATACCCCCTCTTTCAGGGATTTACATCATATCCCGTGGAAAGGGCATCATATCCCGTGGAAAGGGTTCCTGCTAAGGGAAACCATAGATATCCAAACCCACTAGGACCTGCAGAAGAAGTCTTGACCAAGACACGTGTGACTCTTCAGCATGTAGAGGGCTCAAAGTGCAGCGGGTCATAACGGACCAATTTGCGAGTGCCCCTCCATTTGTCATGGGCCTGACCGCAAGTTCTTCGGCATAGGCCGTGTGCACAGGAGAAAAAAACGCAACCAGAGAATTGGGATGGCCCAAGCTTGTGGCGCACCGATTGGAGAGCGATTCGATTCGGCGAGACATGGTTGATCGCCATTGCCTGTTCAAGACAAAACTTGTTTGCCTTTTGGTTTCTGTTTTTTGTCAGCCGTAAAGTTTTTAGTCAAGGTTCCAACAGGTGCACCGATTATTTCCAGGTCCTTCGGACAAGTGAGAATGGGGATGTTGTTTTCCCATCACATGGGTCTCACCAAGCCACGCTGGTTGTTATGTAGCCACAGAGGTCATTTGTTTCAAGGGGCCCAGGGTTTGTTGGCTTACTCTGGAAAGTGGTTCAGCAACCCAATGAACATGGAAACGCGTCAAGCCATTTGCTTGGGAAGGCTTTTTGGTACCTTTCGCTTCAGCTCGCAGCCATTTTGGAGAACCTGGGGGGATGGATTGTGTCAGAGAGTCAAATGGATTCCTGGAAGAATGGTTGCTGGTTTTCTTGGCGGTTACCAGCAAATCGTCCGTTTCCTTGGGCTTTTTGGTTTTTAGATGATTTAGTGGTTGGGTTTCCACTTCCATTGAACCGACTAAAGGTTGAACTTTTAGCAGGGGATTTGAGGACAGCCCAATTTTGAGAAGCACATAATTTTCAAGTCCCCAGGTGCCTTCTTGTAACAAACTTAGTAAGTGTTTTGTGGGTGCCACAAAAGTGGAGGAGCTCCGCACACAAATGGGACGCCGTCCTATTGACGAAGTAGGGCTTTGGCTCCCATTAAAAATGTCTTACTCATAGACTTGCGATCGCAACAATCCCCACCTTTTGCGTCGCATCTGGAACATTACTTGTATTTTCCACTGTTTCGTTTCAAAGGGACATGTCTTGTCGGTGCTCAAGCAACATGGCTTGTTGGTGCTTAGCAGGGAATGAGGGAATGACCCTTATAAACCATCCCTTGTGGTTTTCTTTAAGGGGACCCCTGGGTTCATTCCCACATTCCCTACTGAGCACCAGCAAGATGGTCGTGACCGGTAGCTATTTCAACAAACTGTAAGCATATGGAAGTCATCCGCGCAGGCGGCGCACCGATCGGCGCGAAGAGTCGCGGGGATTCTGAGAGGGTCTCTGAACCCGCGGTGGTAAATACATTAGTCTTTTCAGGTGGCGAATCCCGAAAAATGGGTTGTCATGGGTTGCCCTTCCGTTTGTCTTCCGTTTTCATTCCTTCTCCCTTCCGCTTCCCCTTTGAAAGAAACTTGAGATTTGCTTCCCGACCACACTTGCGCGACTGTTTCAGAGTTTCAGTTGCATGGTCGCCTTGGGCCTCCGCCTTGGGCCGCTTGCGGCACGGAGTTTTCACAAGCTCTTTGCTTTGGCCTGAGTTTTCTGGCAATTGGGCAGCCTTAAGGAGATACGTGCCCGGTTAGTTGCTCACCCCTTTGCCTTTCAGGGAGTTTCTCTTGAGCCGAAGGGCCAAGTCCAATAGGAAGCTATGATTGCAAGGCCGGCCTCTCGGGACAATTTCAGGCATCCTGTTACCAAGGCCTTGAGGGGGTCC